TGTCAGCCTCGCTCTGGGATTACATTCATTGCAAGTATTTTAAATGAAACATGGCGGTCGATAACACCGCAAGTTCAGTTTCGTGTTTATACACGTGTAACGCGGAGCGCGTTTCATTACATTGGCGAGACGCATTTGCCGAGTTGGGAGTTCGAATCTCAAGTCCCATATTTATACAGAGGGGCCCACCCGAAAAAAAATGTTGGGGGCATCGTCCCCCAAATCAAGCTGAAACTCTTTGCGTCAAAATGTGTGCATAAAAATGCAAGAAATAGCGTTTCAGAAGGTCTAGATTTCAGATCTAGCCCCCTCATGCAAAATGTCGTGCCACCGCCTCTGTTATATATTACTAAATGTGCCTGAAATTTCAATCAAGTAAATTCAAAGGACAGTATCAAGACATTTTTTTTAATTTATTTGTTTTCATTAAAATATGTTTTATTTTTATTTAAAAGTTGTACAATGAACATAGTATATCCAAGACTCAGATAAATACACACCAGCAGACAATGGTATATTAAATATATATATATATATGCAAATAATTCTATAATTTCAGATATGTTTTTGAATATTTGTATTAAACACTATCATTTAATAAAGATGGCATTAAAGTAAAACCTTACAAAGCGTATGGCATTTAAACCAATTGTAATCCATGAAAGAGCGAATTAACCCTCAATGAAATGATATACATCGTCTGAATATTTAACTTGCGATGAAACGTCGAAATGAGGATCTTAATATTCTATAACCCTTTCCAATATATGCCTAAATGTCAGATTAAACTGATCTAGACGGAACATTTAATTTGTTTCCGTGAATCCGGAAATGTTGACGGTAAGGAGCAAAATGACATAGGTGATTGATTACTCAAATGTATCACAGAGTTGGATGGATATACATTCCATTGACTGATGTATGGATAAATCTTTTGGAGATTACCGTAGATGTCTCTTGCCGGAAAATGCATGGCTGCATTCTAATTAGTAATCCCGGATTTTGCCGACAAAACAACCGTAATTTTTCACACATATTCACTGATGCAATGGAACACGTGATTATAGTGATAAAGTCTTTGGCGTTAGTGACTACGACGTTTGCCCTCAAATCGAACTCAAACCCTCTAACAACGAATACGTGTCGGTAGACTTCTTTCAAGACAATGCAATTACCCTGCCCCATATTATTTGTTGAACAAATACGGCCTAGGTAATCTTTAGGAATAAGCCAAATAGCCATGTTTGAAGCTTCTGATATAATAATAAATAATTTAATAAATCGAATATATGCAATCCTCTGATTTCTATTGTTAAAAAGAGTGAAAATATCACACGAACACTTTATTTTTTCAAAATGGAATTATTTTGTCCATGTTTATTTCATTTATGTGTAATGAAATGTGCAGTGTAGTATTGTGATGATAATATAGCAGGAAAACGTATGCATATCCCACGATAATACGTGAAATCTTAATAATTTAAAATGAAAATATAAGTCCAGTAATTGGTGTTATATTCTAGTTTCACTCTGTGGCCGGCACTGCTATTACAATTGCCATGAAAGCAGAACATCTAGGTTATGTAAATAAATGTAAATCATTCAGAAAAAAAGAATATATTAATGCATTGTTCCACAATTATGTGCAATTACAACTAGCTCTTGAAAAGCTATTCATTTCGGCTTCCAGTGCAGACGATAGCAATTGAAGACGGAGGAAATTAAACTCGTGATGTTTTGATTACGCTGGAAAACGAAACTGTGGCAACAGATGTTGGCCAATAAAGAGATACGTCTCAAACTCGGATATTCCCACTCACGAACGATGTACCTCCCGAGTTTTTCAGTTTCGGCCACTAGTCACCGGCAGTGCCATCAGCTTCGTCACCCCGGTTCCGGTGAAGTCTATACTTTTCCTCGCAACAACCCGACCGAGAGAAATCGTGCATGTTTCTACGTTATTCATAACTAACAGTGATTCCGATTGAACGCCGGCCCATTGCGTTTGTGTTTAAAATTCTATTAAATTTCCAGACGTGTTTACAACGTCACGAGTGCGTTATATATCAATCCGCGCGTCACAACTTTCATGCCGAGAGCCATTTGTCATTTGGCCTCTGAATTCAATGTATGTATGATGAAGAGGTTATTCGTCGCCAACAAGATACTGCCGCGTTATATCACTCGTTTTATGCTCGATATTCTCATTCGTCATTTGCACTTTGCTTTGAAGTATATAAATGTATTCAGGCACAGAAGACGCCCGCTGCGTTCAGGTGTTCCAGGTGACACGATGGCGTCGAGAAACTTGTCTGTTTAATTATGCTGTGTTTGTGAATGGCGTGGATTACAAGAATGTTTGTGATCTATTTCAATTCCTTGACGTGTAAATGAGATATTTTTAGCGAGGCGACGCTCCACGCTCTGGCAAAAATAAAATTGCAGTCTAGTGACAATGAAAATGTACATCGTTATCATAACCATTATTTCATATATAACCTATTACCTCACAAAAGGCAGTGAACGCTTCCAAAATGTTTGAAAGCGTTCTCAGAAATTAGCGATCCTATCGTCATATTCCAAAACACTAGAAACTCTTAAAACAGCCTTCGACCGTCACGTAGCATTAGTATTTTTCTAAATAATTTGTTTTTGGCCGCGGGATTTTGTGATCATCCTTATCATATAATCACTTCGTTTCCATACCCTTATCTCATTATTTTATATAATGGTTTAGAATGTCCATATTTCCGATGACGATATGGGGCATATCAATATACTTATTATCAATTATATATAGAAAGGATATCTTACAATTGACCCTTCAATGTCAGATTAGAAAGAGAATAACAAATCTGATATTTCATGAAATAAATTTGATATCTTGTTAATCATATATCTGTTTTGCAATGTTTACATGCCACATATAAGCGTAATGGGAACTATATATCGTCATGTCTCAATGGAATAAATACACTGATTCGGTTAAGGATTTTTTTGAATCATCAATATTTTTATGGTTTCGGGGATACTTTGGAAACATGATTACGAATTCTGTGAAATGGAGCATATTACATACTTTGTGAGAAACGACAATTAGACATAGGTGAAACAAGCTGAAGGGAAAAGCATTGGAAACGGTGGCACACGTATTATTAGACTTTATAGCTAGCACAAACATAATCATTAACTGATTTCGGGAACTAAAAGTGATATTTGAATAGCATGGACATACTGATTATGGTTGCACTGCTTAATTTTCTTGTTGTTATTTTTTTCACTCAAATATTCAATGATGTGTTTCAGTTTCTAAAATTTGAATTGCGTCATCCACCACTGTGATACCATGGCAGATGCACGGTAGTTTTGAGATACGACACTGTACATCATATACTAAAATGATGGTTTTAATTAAGTTTGTTGACGCCGCGGTGTTTTTCACGTAACGCCTTGTGTATGCGGTCTGGTGATTCTGTTCGTTTGTGATATTTGCTCCAATTCGTTATGATTTGTTTTAACCGATTCTTGGAAGGACTGAATAACAATTTGATAATACACATATCAACTTGCCAAACTGAACCATTTGTACTATAATCAGACATTCCATGAAGCCGGAAGCTCCGGAAAACCGTCATGCATCGCGTACAATGAAAAAAGTTTTCAGATTTTGGCGTCAAAGTATGTGATATTGCATTTTCGATCTGTCCTATATGACGTCACATTATGGAGATATACGTCTTATGTATGAGGTACGTTACATTGATCTATCTCAGCTGCAAATAAAAACAAGAAACTTTATAACGAAGCTAGTCACATTTCTTTTGGTTCATCTATTGCAATTGTCTGATTGTCGATCCATCCAACTTTTTATTCCGGCTAAAAAAAACAAGTTAGTACCATTGCCTGGTGATTGTTTAAAGTGTGTCATCTAAAAACACATTATGCCCAAATATTACGGTCGATCTCTGTCAATTTATTGATGTGCGATTTTTCAGTACGAGCTAACACACACTATATATATGTATATTTTATTATGCACAAATTAGTATTTAATCACATCATGGTCGTACAGGAATAATAAACATGGTGACAGAAAATGTTAATAAAATACAAGAAGATTCTTGAATAGATTTTGAAGTTCTCGGACGTGCATATATAGATTATGTGACTGCCTTTATGTTGTCTGAACATATTTCATGTTGTACCGTTAAATTCACTAAAACGTTATACGTATGTATCTTCTATAAGTTACATTTGTCCGTACCAAATATGTAACCTGGGACAGTGAAGACGATCATAATAGCGTTTCCATATTTTCAATATATTTGCCAGTTTCAAGGAAAACAGATATTGTTCATATTGATTAAAAAAATAATTGACCTATTATTTGTATTTTTTAGAATAAAAGATAAATAAATTCATTAAATATATAATTAATTAATACGATATGCTAATTGCATGCAAATACTAACTAACTTAACGTGGCTAAACGTATATATATATATATATATAATCAAGAGTGATTTACAACGTTTCTACTAGAATTGATGAAGTCACATCAAGGGTGTGATTTCTCGATTGTTCATGTACCATTTTCAGCTTTGAACCTTCCGCTAGCCTTTGGTGAAGAATATTTTTCAGACATCTATTGATAAGCCAGTTATCGACTTTCCAAATTTTTATATATTCGTAATCGCATACATAAGTTAAGTCATTCCAACGTTGTGTTATGAATACATAATTGTCTGATGATGGAAATCATTATTCCCAGTTATTGGAGCTTAAATAAGATATATTTTTTATCAACGCGGTGTTGTCAACGGTTCGATCTCAGATTAGTTTTGACCCTGCAACACAGTCTTATCGAAATTGCTGAGACTTCTGCAGTCCGCCGTAAAGTAAGCGTAGTAGCTTGAATTTTGGCGATTATTATTCTTTTAAACATAATCTATATATTGTGACGTAAATAGTTACAATAGATGTATTACCAGTGAGTTGAATCAGGCAACCGATACAAAGGCGGGTTTCTTGCTTGAGCCACAGCGGAGCAGCTTTGCTGCATCGTCTCTGAAGTCCTTCAATTTTGCGGCATAGATGAACGGGTTCACGCACATGTTGCAACACACTGATACCACCGTGTACTGGAAAAACACGCCATTGATTTCCACATCAACTCCGACGTTCACACCGAGATTGAAAAAGAAGTAGTAAATTTGGTTAGGCGACCAGCAAATGATGTACATTACTACCACAATCAGCAAGGTCATGATGACATTCTTCTCGGTTCTCGAAAGCGGCTTTGGTTGAGGGTTGCTGCCACTGCTTGCCACGCCTTCCATGTTTAAATTCACCCCATCGTTTGGTTTCACTCGACTTTGGCGCCTGACTACTCGTAAAATTGCGACGTAGGAGAACACCATTATAAACAGGGGGATCAAGTATTGGAAAATTAAGATAACGGTACCGACAATATATAAGTACTTCCAACGGATCGGCAGACAGCCCCCTCTGTTGTCGTTGACGTGCACCATCGCCCAGTGTAGTTCATAGATGAAACAGAACGGCCAGACAATGCATACCATAACCTTGGCTTTCTTCGGTGTAAATCGCGTGTGGTGGATGATAGGGTGAACTATTGCGCAATACCGCTCAAGGGTCAAAAGCACCAGGTTAAAAGTCGATCCCAAGAAGCAAGCCCACATGGGATATTTACTCGAAACCCACAGCTTACAGAAAATGTCCCCCTTCAGACCATCGGGCACATACCTTACCACAATCAAGTTCGCAATCAATAAAATCGAGCTGACTAAATCAAGCAAAGATTGGTTTAGCATGAATATATTAGTGCTGCCCAGCCCATTGGAGCTGGCGTAGGCCTTACGGAGAAACACAACAACGACCAGCAGGTTCCCGAGCATTCCAATAACGCCGATGAATCCGAAACATATTTTCATACTAACTGGGTCATTGTAAAGATTGATAGCGAGCAACGTTTCCGTCGTTGTACTGTCGTTGTCAACTTCAGTGATATACAGGGGAGAGGTAGTGTTGTTCTCCATTGTTACTGACAACCCTGTTTCCTCTAAATCATGCGTTTACTCTAACCGGTCGGACTCCCAATAAATAGACAATTAGAAGAGGTATCTTGACAGCGTTTTGCTTTCGTGTTAATATGTGATAGTTCTCACAACATCAGTGTCGTCTGCCGAACTCCTATCACCTACAACAGAGAAATCGAGTACGGATATTAGCATAGCACGCGACACATAATGATGGAAATATATTATGCAGGAACGCTTTCGTCTAATTTGATAAACATATGCGAATAATGCGTAAATGATATTTTCAACTGAGAAAAATGTCTACATATTTTTAAATGTTAGAATGGAGTGTACCAAACTACATTTATAGAATCGCGTACAATTAAAATGACATATATATTATTACAGATTATATTGATTGTCTCAATGTGTGATACTTACGCCTAGTGAAACTATACTATGTCGTTCGTAACATTGTTAAAGGATCGATTAACATCATTGTTGATTCCAAATTTCCGATGCTATTTTTGACCTTAAACTGACGATTATTTACCTCCTTGAACTAATATGACAGTCCCATTTTTAATACATGCTACATAAAATAATGTATTCATAAATCACTGCTACATTCGTGGTTCGTGTTTTTATTAACGGTACTCTGTATTCAGATTACATGGCCCTTCAGGAGTAACGTGGACAATCTCGCTCATGTCGATAAAGCAAATATTTCTCTACGTCTGCATGTGTGTGTCTGTGATAAGAACTCAGTATCGCGGAAACAAAACTCAATCAATTGAACTAAATCGCGATAGTGTAAGAAGGTCATTTCCCCTGGCAGACTGCTCAATGAAAAGAACAACGTCATAAAAAATCAAACGCAAACTATAGGCAGGTCTCATTACTTTTCCCCGAGTGTAAACTGTGCCGTGATTAATAGACACCCCGCCCTTATTTGTTAGCGATATTTGGCATTTATATACGACTTACTTAATTACTTACTTACTTACTTATAAGCGTCACTGACTATTTCTGTACTCAGTATAGTCCAGTGCGTGTTGGTAAGCAACGCTTCGATTGTGATACAGACTGTCTGCACATATGAGTGAATCTACTTACTGGATGATAAACAAATTGTAAAATTGGGGTCGTTGCTCGCTTGATTGTACGAGTATTACTACCGGTAACACGTGAGCGGATCAAAACGATCACTCGGTGTATGTTGTCACCAATGACGGTTACAGTAAGTGTAAAGTAATAATAATAATTATATTATGATTAATTCGCGATGTTTAAAATAGTGCAAAATGGTTCTGTTTATATGAAACGGCTATTGTGACCACATTATCTGCAGCAATCATAATAATTTCATACAGAACTTCAGCGCAAACCAAAACCCAATCGTGGAAATGCGGATGAATCAGCTGGAGTATTGTTTTTGCAAGCTTTAAATTAAAATCATCCAGGAGATGGTCAACTAAACATTACACAAGCACATATACACTAGTTCAAAATCATGGTAGAAGGGTCCTCGCCCAATACGAAACACAATTTAGGTAAATTGGTAAGTTCCTACTAGTAACCCCTCCTCCCTCGTGATCAGTAAAAACGGAGGGTGACAAGATGAGTGGCACAGCGCATCGCTCACAGCATGGCCAAGTAAAGGTAGATGTGTAAACTCATACTGTTTTTTTTTCGAAACCAAAGTTGTAACTTCATACCGAACCTCCGTCAGAGCACGCCCGTACCCGTACATGGCTGACGTGGAAGTCAGTTCATGCAATGAACACTGCAGGGCAATTTTCATGAAAATATTGCCACTAACTGTTCAGACGAACAATTAAAGGTTCTGCAAGTGACACTTGGATAATTCTAATTTAGTTATACGTTTTTAGTAATACGAATGTATGTGTTTGTTGTGTTTATTTATACAAGTTAACTTATGTGGATGTAAAAATATATTGTATGTATATATTGTGTATTGGTGAAGAATTGCGATAGCTTATAAATCGCATCTCTGATTGATCAAGAAACTTATCTATATTTTTTATTTATTTATTTATTTATTTATTTATTTATTTATTTATTTATTTATTTATTTATTTATTTATTTATTTATTTATTTATTTATTTATTTATTTATTTATTTATTTATTTATTTATTTATTTATTTATTTATTAGTGACTTATAAAATATCGAATGATCTTGTCTGACGAATATTTCGGATTTTGTTAGAACTACAATTACAGTTCGGTCGATTTCAATTCAGACTTTCACAAACACGTCCATCACACTGAATACGTACTCAATGAAAACACTGAACACAAACAGTGTTCGTGACGGATAATCAATTGTTTCAATAAAAGGTGAATTTATATGAGGCAGGTCTGACGTATTTGATACAAATTATTGACAAGTAGGGATTTAATCATTAATTAGATTGGGAAGGTAAAGGGCGATAATCATGAAAAACAAATATATCCGGTAGTATTAGTTTTGCCATAATGGTAAGTACGATAATTACACATACGTCTCTCGTTCATCACTATTTTCTGTAATTATAACTCCCCAGTTATTTGTTGGTTCATCCCTAAACCCGTGCTTCAGTCTATAGCTTTAAATACCGATACAACTTAAAAATGTAATTAAATAATTTGCGTCAAATAACATATTTTTGAATAACCAACAGCCTGAATTCTCGCGAAAATCTATTTGAAATTGATTAATGTAGTGTAGATACCGAGTATCCTTCAGTGTAGTATTGGGGTGAGTTATAATTTTGCAATGCAATTGAATAAAAGTATATAGAGTATTTGGTTCTGGTCAGAAATTAGGTTCAGGGTTTGAGGTAGGTTTCGGTTAAGATTCAACATGGTTTAGGGTTTTGAACGTTATTGAGATAATACTTATTAGTCAAGCAGATAGGAACAAAAATATAAGATTGTACAATTCTGTGTAGAAACGTTGAATTTGCCACAATTCAGGTTCCTAAGCGTTCTTTGATATAGTGTGCCAATTGATCAGCGCTATCGAGTGGCACATAGCGCCCTCTAGTTGAACAGAATTACTCAAATTATTATAAAAAAGTATGAAATTGAAATGAAACAATGGTCCACTTGAGAACTCTTCTCTTGAAACAAATATTTTGGGTTGAAACTAACAAGCTATCGTTAAAATAATCCTCCGAAACAGTACTTGCAATATGCGTGATATTTTAGAATCTGCACAAGTAAAGGAGCAACTACACATCTAACAGAGATCACTCAACTAGTCACACTTCTACGCTTTGGTGAACAAATGTCTCGAGATTTACTGCAAGGTACAGTGTACTGTGGGCAAATAATGATGTACGGTAAATATCGCCTATGCAAACACTTGATATATGCCAATGTATAGAACACGTGACATGCTTATGAACACACATTGATGTCTGTATCTCATTTATCATTTACGTCCAAGTGTTATTGCGATTATTGCGAGATATGACGTCACAGGTACACACGCGTGTTTTGAGTCTGCACAGGCAGAGACATGACCCCGGACGAGGTCAATGTTACGTCCGTATCATCCACATTATAAGCACCATCATGACAATATAGTAAATGTTATTAAATGAATGTCATTTTTACTCTGAAACCATACACCCATACATTTATCATCTGCATAGCTAATGTTAATGTTCGTCATTGACATGCGCATGCGTTTGTTTTGTGTAGTATTGCGTACGCGATCCTGTAATTTACTTGTATCTTTTGCATCCTTCCATTCGAGTAGATTCGTTACAAATCTGCTGCCTATAAGTTCATAACTATTGGTTTTTGTTTCCACAAAGATTTATGTTATTTTCCGACATTGGCTCTCATAGTCACGTTTATATGATGCCCTCTTCGATATTTTTAGGTTTCTTGGCTTACAACTTCTCTTGCGTCGGTGAATTTAGACACTTCATTCTGTAACGTCATTGCGCATACTTGAATAGAAAGAAGTCCAAGGTTACTACTCGACGCATGCGTAAAAGTATACACAAAAAATGTGACCATTGACAATCAGGATAGCGAATGAATAAAGAATGGTTGAAATTGTCCCCCCCCCCGCACAGTACTCCCTAGTTGTCTTTAAAAAGCACGTCGATATCAAAATACATAAAAACACAACATATTCAGGCGGAATGTACTGTATTGTCACTGGTGGGTCCAGAAATTCGGTAAGGGCCGCGTGCTCCTATTGACGTGGCCGAAGTAGATCTCCGGTGGGCTGGGTTTGTCAATTGATTTGTCATTTTTTTGCGGGCTGAAGCAGGGGGCGCGCGCCCGTCTTGTTGGGCTATTCGCCGCCATTGCTGCGTGCGGCAAACGCGCGATCTCGTCATACTGAGCCTAACCGACACCTAATTACCCAGCATTCATCGTGACAAGTTAGGCTCAAGGATTGATGGGTGAATTATGAGGTCATGACTGGGGTAACAAATGTTGTAGGTGGACAGCAACTAGTCAATTATACACTATCCTTTGTGATGTGAAAATAAGTGCTTCAAATTGGAATGACAAATTATGTAGTATACAAACAGACAGTTTTACAATTACATTGCAGAGAAGTAATATAAATTGATAGCTGTCAATAATTAAATATATAAATAATATTATGAACTTAATGTAATCACAATTTTTTTTATTTGACATGTGTTAGTATATTAAATTGTATTGTACTTCTGAAACTGAATAGAAATAACACGATTTACATGTGTCATCGCCAGGTTAATGCAATTTAACTATTCAAGGCTTCAACTGGCATATATTCATTTCATGATATTGCAAGCATGCCGGGAAATATGATGTATGCAAGAACTTTTCACTACGTTCTTCTTCTCATTGTATGGAGAATTCAGCAACAGCAGAAAGTACGAAACTTCTTTGGTGACATCGAATCCAAGACAAATAGTTAAGGAGAGTTAATACCATATCCCCAATCTGTATTGATGAGTCCTACCAGATCACAAAACTAAAGTACTGACAACAAACAA